TCTGGAACTTGAAAAACGCAGATAAGGACCCGTGACAACTTCACTATGAGTTTTGACAACTTTGTAATATATTATTATTGTAAAAAATCATAGTGAAGTTGTCACGGGTTTTTATCTGCGTTTTTTAAATTTCAAAGTCTTTATTTGCAATTTTTCCTAGTTTTTATATTAGGGTGGGAGAGAGCATGTGATATGATAGATCAAAGTTCAAACATTATGATCGGTACCCGTAGCATCCCTATTAGCACTTATCCATATATGTCCCTAATTCTACCCTCATAAAACGTTGTGTAGTATACACAACAGCCTTTCCAAAGGCAAAGAAAGAGGGAGAGACGAGCAGGTGAGAGGGAGGTCCACATTGTGATGGAACAACCCTTTTTATCACCAAACTTTGTCAACTACAAACATCTGTGCTGATGCTATGCACCTGAATCATCCTGTCTATCTATACAATCTAACACTACTAAACCCTTTTGCAAATAATTGTACAAGATCCTCTAAGAAATTATTGGAAATACTTTTCCTCCATTTCTAATTTGATGCGTGTACGTTTTTCTCTCTTAATAATAAGTTTTTTTTTAAAATTTATTCTTTCAGCATTGTTAGTTCCTGAAATTTTATTAATCTATTAGCACTGTTTAAGTCCCTTACACACTGCTACAAAATATTCATTTTACGTTAAAAAAACAGAAAAACACATACTTATGTTCACCTAGTATATGAAAATAGATGAGCATATTCATGTATGCTCATACTAGATGGGTAGACGAGTATAAACTCGTCTGTTCAAAGCGACAGAGTAGTATATTTATGTATACTTGTTTATTTTGTTTAAATATATGCATTATTTATTTTGGTCAGAACAGATAAATATAGTGATTTATATTCTTTTGTTCTAGTCATAAGAGACAAATATAGTATTTTTTTCTTCCCCATCTGTTCAGGACAAACGAATAAATAATAATTATTTACATCTCTTTTATCAACGTCTCTCTCTAAATAGATTTAAAAAAAAATTACAAAAATAGCATATTTTATTGTAATGATGTAATCGAATCTTACCCCTCTATATAATGTAGAAATTCAACAAAGTGGTGTATAGAGTAAGGGAAAGCATTCCGTCACTCATGAAACCGATCTCTCCAAGGAATGTTACTGTGCTACGTGCAAAGCACTAAGGTGAAAATTTATCAATAAAGTATATACTATTTCGGTTTACGTGAAATATATTTATAAATACTTAAATAAGCATATCAAAACAAATTTTCAGTTGATTAAAATTTGAAGAGATTAACAAAGCTAAATAATTTATATAACTATATCATATGTTACAATTACATGATCCTTTTAAAATACGGTGTTTTGATTAAAAGACTTATAATTTTAACATAATAAAGAATAAGAATGCAATAAAAAGAAATAAAACTAGAAGGACCTAATTTCAAATATGATAAAACTAAAGCACTGCCAAGTTAATTTTTCCTTATTTAATACTCCTTTTGTCCTTAATATAGGACCTAATTTAGGAGTTAATACTGATCCTATACAAAAGGTTTATCATTTTTTTCAAGTTAATCATATTAGTATTCTCCCAGTAATAATTAAGTAGGAGAAGAAGAGAAGAAATTAAGAGAAATATTTAAAATATTTTGAAAAAATATATCACATTAACTAATTTAACTAATTTTTTAATTTATTTAAATTAGTTAATTAGATTTTACATTAAGGGGATGTTTGGCATTTGAGAGAAGTGCATTTAAAAAGCACTTTTTTTCACAAATTAAGATAAATTTTTTCATATATTTATTTTATATATAATAAAATTATTTTTAAAATTATAGATTGGGTTTACCCAAACAACCTCTGAGAACTGAATATTTAACCATTTGTTTGCGGGAACAGGGCAGACACGAAAGTTAATACGTGGGAGACTGTGAGTCACGCATCCAACTTTCTTCAGGTGTCTAATCTTCTCGTCTAGGTTTGGCTCCCACATTGACTATATGCCTTATTCCTTTAACTTTTTGGCATAGATTATTATATTAATTTAAAGTTTAGCAAACGGTTTATTTCGATCCAGCTATAAAATCTTAATTTATTTTGACTCTAAATTTATATTTATTTTTTGAAGTCCTCCTTAATCACATATTAGGGAGTTCTTCATCAAGGCAGTATTATTTTATAGTCTTTTCCTTTGTATCCAAAAAAGTACTACTATTTTCCAGGACAAATGATTACTTTTCTGATTATTAATTTAAATGCTATTCATTTAATTTGAATAAACTAAGAAATTTAAATAAATTAATTAATTATAACATATGTTACTTAACCTTTCTAAAATAACTTAGTATGATATAAATTGGGTAAATTAGTTTGAGAAAAAAATGATAAATATGAGAGATAAAATACTCTCTAAGTAGGACCTACATTTAGAGCTAGAGGAGTAAAACAGATTTATAAATCATATCGAACATGTTTTACCATAATTAAGAAAAACTGTAAATTTTATTAATTCTGCCTTAAAATTTAATAAAATTTCAATTTTAGCCCATATCTAAGATATAAACTTTTTTAAAAAAATCTATGCATAATATTAAATGAAGAGTAAAATGATACATTTATGTTAAAAATCTAATGATGTGAATTATAAATAGGACTAAAATTTTTTTTCTCACTTTACCTTATACTATCTCCGATCCTAATTATAAGATCTTGTTTGCAGTGGTAAATAACACTAGATAAGTATAAATTAATTATCTAACTCTTATATTTTAATACCTAAGGAAGTAGAATGAAAAACCAATGCATGTGAATTTTATGTTATTCTCATTCCACTCGTGAAACTTTTTTATACCAAATATTAATATTATACCTTGAACCGAGCGCACTGAACTACCACATATGACAATCTGAACTTTAGTTATAGTTAACCTAACACAGCATGCATACGATACAATAATTGTCAAAGACTGAAAGAAATTATAATAACTAATATGTACTTGCATGTTTCTAGATATATTAACTTCATGGGCTTCTATACTACGCGAAGAAAAATATATTTATGTGTCTGTGTGTTTCTTATTTTGCATGTATTTGAAAATCTACAGTACATATAAAGATTAAGCCTAAACATTGCGCGTGTACACCAGATTGAACTATACATTTTAAGCCTATAGTTCAAAGTGTGGTCTTGTGATTGTCTTGGTGCTGGAATATTTTCTGACTCTCCTGTTTTAGTTGGTGTCACATTAAATTACTTGAATGAATATATGTAACAGATTCCTAGAGTGATGCAAAAGTATGATGAGTATAGATGTTTAATTTGTGTAGCATATATTTTCTGTCTCTTTCCAGAACGGTAGGTGGTGGGGACAACACAGCCAGCCTGTCTAACACTTCATTATATCTTTTTTAAGCCCCCCCCCCCCCGGTTCTACACAGAATGTTTAAAATCTTGTATATGCTATAGCATATAGATTTATAGACCAATCATTCTTATATCGTCTTGAATGTTAGACGAGGTTTTAATTTTGTGTATATCACGAGACAACTGAAGGGAAATAATGTTTCTTACGGTTATCATCAGATTTAACATAATTGAAATATATAACCTGAGTTGAAATATAATGTCACTTCATTACTTTACACATGGTTTGATTAATATTGTATAAAAAACTTTGTTTAATTTCCAACCATGCCATCATGCATCCATGTACTTACATTCGTTGGATTCTTTTTTGCTGAGGGAAAATTCTTTTTTCGCAGAAATTAGAAGGTAAAGTTTTGGTTACTGTTGGTTATGTTAAGGAAAGATACATGGCAGATCTACTTTTACAAGCTGTTTAAATATGGAGGAAGATTTGATTTGTGAGTTGAAGGAATTAACAACAGGAAAAGATGAAATAAATTTGACCTTTTAACAAAGGATCCACATGACGAGGTTAAAAAAGCTCTTAAGAAAATGAAAAATCGTAAAGTAGTTAGACTTGATGGTGCTTCCCTATCAAAGTTTAATAGGCCCGATGTGTTGTGGCTTTCATTAAGCTATTTAATGAGATTTTACGGTACAAGAAAATGCTTCATGATTGGAGGAAAAAAACTTTAATTCCTATTTACAAGAATAAAAAAATATATTCAAAAGTGTACAAGTTTACAGAGATAAAGCTTATGACCCATACAGTAAAATTATGGAAAAAAGTGATTGAACACCGATTGTGATTGGAGACTTTGCATTTCTAAGGACCACCGATTTTGGATGCATATCAGGAAGATCCACAACAGAAGTAATTTGTTTACTAAGGGGTTTATGAAAAATTATTAGAGTAAAGGAAGGGATTTCATATGGTTTTTATTGACTTGAAAAAAGTTTTACCATTTTTTTACCAGTGTAAAAACATCCAAAAGTGAAATAAACGATTTTCTTCTAAGAATTAGCCTACATTAGGGATCATCTTTAAGTGCTTATTGGTAGTTTTGGACATTATTCTAACTGGGCTCTTATAAGAAGAAATCCCTGAGAAAATGTTTTTTTTTTTTCAATGACATAGTTTCTTTGGCTGATTCAAGAGAAGAGAGATTAACTATAATTAAACTTAAGTTTTAAAGAAAGACCTTGGAGTTGAAAGATTGTCACTTGAGTAGCAGTAAGACAGAATATATTTATTAGCATTTTAATTAAAAAAAACAAGTTAGAAGTGCTTTAAAAGTTAAAATAAGATAGCAAATCATTTCACAAGCGGCAAGTTCAGATATTTGGATCAATATACAATACAAAAAATATGTTAAAATTGATGAAGATGTTAATCATGGAACACAAGGCTTGTTGTTATTATTGACATTTATTGTATTGTAAACATATAAATTTTTTTATATCAGTAAAATAAAATGGTGACAATCTGTCCACTTCAAGTTTGTTCCTTTATATATAAGAATACCGACAAAGAGATGGATTCTCATTACTATCATCATCCTCATATTTTGCGACTTTTGTCTTTCAGTTATGTAGAATTTTCCCGAAATAGAATTATATCCATGACTATTAAATCCGAGAGCATCCCACAAAGAAAACAAAAAGAAAGGGAACAAAAATCATTGTCATGTTGATAATAAAGTAAACGAACCATCAATTATAGGATGGTCACCACTTTTACACGATTAATTGAAACAAAACTAAACTGTGAATAGTTTGCTCATTAAGATTTGCAGCTCTCTTTCTCTCAAGAAAGTGAAGATCACCCAAACAGAAGAAGTTCAGTTGAAGGTCTAGAATATTCTGGAATTCGCTTTGGATCTGGGGAAGGTGAAGAAGAAGAAGAAATAATTCCAGTCCTCATATTGAGGTCCAGCTTCAAATCAGTCCTCATATTGGGGTCCAGGTTCAAATCAGGTATGCAAGATGATTCTTCTTCCTCTAAACCACTCGCTGCATCTGAGACTTGATCACAGTTGGAGTTGTTATCAGAAACATAATAAGGTTTTGTAATTGGCTCATCATTATTCTTGGCACTATTATTATATGATGATGATGCTGAGCTTCCAGACATTAATGGCGGATTTGGAGTTAACCGATGATTGGTCGGATCAATTCCTTTGTTTATGAGCTTTTTTCTCAGATGAGAGTTCCAATAGTTCTTCACCTCATTATCTGTCCTTCCTGGTAATCTTCCGGCTATCAGTGACCACCTATATATAACAATGCCATTGATCAATACAACAATAAGGCTCATCTCACACTAGGTTAAAATCAAAATTATTTCCTCCTTTGTTCTTGAAGTGAGAAAGCAAAACTTGAGGATTAACTTTATTAATACTCCCTCTAGTCTTAAATATATGAGCTAATTAAGAGATTTACTCTAGTCTTAAATATATGAGCTAAGTAAGAGATTTATTTTTGTCCAAAAGGTGAGAACTCAATTCATGTTATTTTCCAAATTTATTATTTTTCCTCAAACTATTTCTGCTGGTATGAAAGAAGGGTTCCATGTGTTTTACACATAATTAACTTGACAAAATTTTTAATTAATTTTTATAAATTAGTTATCAAACTTTTATGTTTATTTATTTATTTATTTATTTATTTTTGTGATAAACATCAAACTTTTATGTTTAAAATGAGAGGGAGTTATTAGATGGGATTAAGAAATATTCGAACCGGTTTCCTAGGAGGGCATGAAGCTTGATGATGAGATCTTCTTCATCTTCAGCAAACTTGCCTCTTTTAAGGTCTGGCCTCAGGTAGTTTATCCATCTCAGCCTACAACTTTTGCCGCAGCGAAGTAAACCTGAAGATTTAACAAAACTAATAATGTGAGCATCATTTCTACTAATTCGAAAAGCCTATTAATTCAAAAAACTAATTACCCAGAAGTGAAGAGATCAAAGTAAAATATCATATATATATATATATATAGAGAGAGAGAGAGAGAGAGAGAGGTACCAGCAGCTTGAGGGAGGATACGCCAGGAACCCTCGCCATGTTTGTTGATATGATCAATGAGTTTCTGATCTTCTTGTTTGGACCAAGCTCCTCTGTTCAAAACCGCCTTCTCACAGAAAGGTTTCCTCATTCTCCCCTTGTCCTCTCACACCTTCAAAAGGGCTAATATATATATATATATATATATATATATCAGTGTGTGTGTGTAAAAACCCTAGGTAGCTAGCTAGAACAGGAAAGGAAGACAATGGCAGGGGCGGTGACAGTGAGGAAAATAGCAAGTGTTTAAGAAAGAGAAAAAGAATGGAGGGTGCGTAGCATCACATATTGCGTTCGAAAGTGTATATATATGTGTGTGTACAGATATACACGCCCACATATATATATATATATATATATATATAATAAGAGAAGAAGACGAAGGAGAGAGAGAGGGAAGAGAGAGAGGGAGGGCGGGAGGAATGGCTCATAAAAAAGTTGGTGCGCTCGCGCTTGGTTAGTTGTCCGCTAATTATTAGTCAATAATCACGTACCGTCCTTCCTCCATCCATTTTTTTTTTTGGGCTTCTAAATTCATTCACTTTGATTTCTCCAATGAGAAGTTGACATGCGTATATAACATTGTTTGTTTCTGGTGCTTCAGCAATGGGCTTATTTGGAATATTGGCTTATAAGTAGCTTTTCAAACGTAATTTACGAAATACAAGATAAGTATATGAATAGGGTTTTATCTCAACTTGCGTGAAAATACTTATAAGTACTTTTGTAACGTTGATCCAAACAAGCCCAATATTAGAAGTACTTTTTATATGTACAAATTACTAAAAAAAAAGTTAATATAATAATTACATAAAAGATAGATTTTATAATATATGTTAATTTGAAGGAACAAAATTGTTGATAATATATTTTTTACCCACATAATTAATAATATATAAGATAATGTAATTAATAATTAATTAATATGTGTACATATATTTATAAAATATAAGATTATATATGTTTATAAAAAAACAATAGATGGGTGTTAAAATCATATTATCATTGAGATCTACTCTAACAGGTACTTTGACACTCTTCAATTTGAGCCAGGAGCAGAATGGATTCACTTCTTCTGAAACTATGATTTTGAACCCAAAACTATGGTTTTGGCCCAAACCATGGTTTCTCTAGAATTGTCCCTGTTTGGCCGTCTCTTTTTCCAAATCATGGTTTGGAGAGACAGCCAAACATGCCCATAATCTCACTTTTAGATATTCATGTAGGTGTTAGATTTTGTCCTTGAAGTGAGGTTGTAGTGTTCGATAGAGGGGGTGTTTGGATAAAACTAAATTATGGTTTGGAGAATAGCTTCTAAAGAATAGATTTTAAGAGAATAGATTTTTGGGCTTGTTTGGGTAACATTCCAAATCAAGGTTTGGAAATCCAAACCATGGTTTGTGTAAAAAAGTTGCCAAACAGGGGGCAAAATTAACAAACCATAGTTTTGGGTCAAAACCATAGTTTCAGAAAAAATAAATCCATTTTGCTTCTGGCTCAAATTAGAAAGTATGATTGTGCCTGTCAGAGTAAATTTCAACCATAATATGACTTTAACACTCCTCAATTAATTTTTTTTATAAACATATTTAATCTTATATTTTATAAATATATATACACATATTAATTATTTATTAATTACATTATCTTATATGTTATTAATTATGTTGGTAAAAAATATATTATTAACAATTTTATTCCTTCAAATTAAAATATATTATAAAATCCATGTTTTAGGTAATTATCATATTAATTTATGCTTTTTTTAGTAATTAGTATATATAAAAAGTGTTTCTGATAACAGCTATCCAAACACTCTCACTTTATCAGAACTACTTTTTCACAAAATCTATTCTTCTAAAGCTATTCTCCAAACTATGGTTTGGTTTTATCCAAATACCCCCAAATTTGTGAAAAATAGATTTTATAAAAAAGTGATTCTGATAAAATGAGAGTGTTTAGATAGTTGTTATTAGAAGCAACTTTTATATGTGCAAATTACTAAAAAAGGCATAAGTTAATATGATAATTACATAAAATATAAATTTTATAATATGTTTTAATTTAAAGGAATAAAATTGTTAATAATAATTTTTTACCAACATAATTAATAATATATAAGAAGATGTAATTAATAAATAATTAATATGTGTATATATATTTATAAAATATAAGATTAAAAAAGTTTTTGTAAAAAATGAATATTTTTTACTAACAGAAAGATATTATTTTATTTTAAAAATTATAAATATGAAATAGCATGATATTTTTTTATTTTGAAATATTTCATTTATCTTTTCCTCTCATATATATGATTCTCTTAGGCCCTCTCTTAGTGTGTGCCTGGTTGTTGAGATCATTTGTATATGCCAGCAATCGAGTCAAGGGGCATTTTTTGTCCAGGTGATGTTGCCTACCTTCTGGCATTCCAATAGCCAAAATTTCAGCATCAGAAGTGAGATGATTTCATTTTTCACATAACCATGGTTTTAGAGGTTAAAATCATAATTTCAGTTTAAACCATGGTTTTCCAAAATATTAGGGTGCTTGGATGTCATCTGATCCAAATCATGATTTTGCCTCCCAAACTATGGTTTTGGATGACATCCAAACGGGTCCTTCGTATCTGTCAGATTGGTAGTAGTTATATTTATTCATTTACTTGTACTGTTCATGTTGGATTTCAATTTTTCTTATTTGTCTAAATTAGTAGACGAAAGGTTTAAAGGGATTTAAAAGAATATGATAGAATTTAATATACTAGTTTAATATTGCCCTACTTGTACACTCAATGTTCAATTCAAACTTTCAAGCAGAAACTATACAATGCGATATTATTTGAATGTATTGATTAATTTCTAAAAACAAAAATTATTCATGGATAACTTTATGATTGAATTAAAATATTAATTTTCATGCTTAATATTGTCATGCTCCAATCGAAGGCTCTATTTTAAGAGAAATTTAAGAGTTGTTTGGTTTTTTGTCTTTAAAATAGTTTTTTTTTGAAATAGAAAAAAACATGTTTAAAAGAATATGATAGTACTACTTTGGTCCTTAGTATAAGAGCTAGTTTGGTATTCGATTTAGTCTTAAATATAGGATCCCAATCCATTTTATCTTTCATATTTATCCATTTTTTTACAAAGTAATCCTTGTAGTAGTTACACATATTAAGTATTCCATCAAATGATAGTTTTAGCCAAAACATATGATTAGCAAGGGTATTATAGGGAAGAACACATAATTATTACAAATAACTAACTTAACAAACTTTCTTAATTAATATACTTAAATTAGTTAACTAACTCCTATATTAAAGACCGGAAGTAGTATTTAATATATTAGTTTAAGTATTGACTACTTTTGCTTTCATAGTTTCATGAGTACTCTTATTTAGCAAGAGTAGCTAGTAACTATACAATAGTAGTCACCAAATTTTTACAAGCAAAAGTTGTTAATCATGAATTTAAAGTAGTTAATAACTAAATAAGAATAGTCACTGAAGTTTTGGTGACATTTTTGGAGCTTTGATAACTAACTGTTAGAAGAGTTGTTGGCACTAGAACTCCGGCCGGGAGTGCTTATGTGGCATTATTTTTTTTACAAAAAGGTGAAGGGCAGTTGGATCATTTGGTCATATTTAAAAATTTCAAAATAGTACAAGGAGGTTTTATATTAAAATTTGAAATTTACCCATCTTAATTTGTCATTTAACCTTTTTAAAGATATTTTCATGTCATTTTTCAAATTTGTTTTCGAAAACCAAAAAAATCAGAACATCCGGCCATATGATATATTTTTTTCTTATCGTCCCATAAAACTAGAGGAGATTGACTATACTATATTTTCAATTTTCACTAATGACAATCATGCTACTAAAGTAAACTAAATTAGGTAGATTAAAAAATAGTTAAATTATTTATTTGTTAAAAATATATGTTTTTTTAAAATATCCTCTTATATATGTATATATCTTTTGCGTTGAGACTATCTATTTATTCAAACTCTTTTAACAAAGGCAATCAACAAGGATAGTTTGAAAAAAAAATATGAAAAATAAAATAAATTAAGATCTTATATTTAAAATCAAATCAAATTACTCAATTAATTTTTATATTAGGCGCAAAAGGGAGTAGAAATATAAAAAGCAAAGTCATTGAAGAGTTGATTTGTAAATTTGAAAGTGGCGTTGGGTCACACATGTTTGACAGTTGACCGTTAGTTTTAAATATAACCTACTCTTTGTAGAAATAATGATACATCAAGTTTTTTTTTTTTTGGGTCCAAAATGATACATCAAGTTTAGTTGCCGCAAATTTCCACTTACACACACAATCATATTGCCGCTGCTTCTCACAAAAGGAGATCCTACTCAAAAAGTGGCTGACGAGAGGGTCTTCAACACTACCTCTAGTGTTTAATATAAGAGCTTGATAACTAATTTAAGGATATTAAAAAAAAATAGTTATATTAGTTATTTGTAATAAAATATGTTTGTTTTCTCTATAATACTTTTGCTAATCATGCATATTATTAGCTATAATTACTTTTAATGAAACCTTTAACATATGTAACTACTACAAAAACTACTTTGAAAATAAATAAATAAATATAAGAGACAAAATAGATTATGGTCTTATATTTAAAATCAAATTGAATATCAAACTAGATATTATATTAAGGATTAGATGTAGTAATATTTTAAATAATATTGATGCAGGGGATGAGAAAGAGAGGGATTCAAAGATAAGAGATGAGTTCAAAGGGAAGACAATGTAATTCTCATTAATATCACTTAAAGGCGTATAATAAAGCAAATGTAATAAGAGGTGATTTATGAGCGCCAACCTAACTCTACAAATTAAATATAATAGTAAAATATTATAGAAACCTAAAATTAAATCAAAATATTATGAATGATACCAATAATGACTGAAAGATAACAATAATGTCAAGGAAAAAAAAATCAACATTAAAACAAAATATTTTTAATTGTTTTTCTTATAAAGCTAAATATTTAAAATTCTAACTAACTATTATTTGATATTTCAAGGAGAGTTTACACGCCACTTTGCCAATGGCCATGTTATATACCACTTTGTTTGTATATGTAAGTTTCTTGTAGGAGAAAAGTTCATTCCTAAATATAAGTTACTTGTAGGCCAATCAATGATACTTTTTTAATTTTACCTCTATTCAATACAATAAAAAAAAAATAGGTGAGAGAAAATGTATAATACATTTTTTTCAATACCCGAGGGTGAGGTACTACTGTATAGGAACAGAGGCTGGTGTGTGCGCATTATTACTGGTTTGATCTGTAATATGTAATCCTAACACAGTCATATGATTAATAAATTATTTTTTAAAGTTGGTCTATCAAATGCTGGCAAAAAAAAAAGTCTATTAAAAAAATTTATTATTGACGCAGCGATTCTTATTTTTAAAAAATAATTAAATATAAGATGAGTAATAAAGATAATCATTTTATAAAAATAAATTTAAGCTAAAACATTTGGATTATAAAATTTTAATTTTGTGGTTTTCTTCTAATTAGATGACATAAATTTTTTTTAATATTTTAAATGATATGCAATTCCATGAATAAATAAGATCGCCTCGCCTGCCATTTGTAGGTTTGCTTGGAATAATTTATAAGTAACTTTTTTATCATGATTTATGTAATACGTAAATATGACAGTAAAATTTTGTTTCAACTTATGTAAATTATACTTATATGTTTGTAATTGCCAACCCAAACGTGGATGGTGACCGGGGAAAGAGCAGGCGGCACAGCGTTTTTTTTTTTTTGGGTTTGAAATAAAAAGTGTAGACTCTTTTTTGTATTTTGTCATGGTAATAAGAAAAATATTAGATCCATTTTTTAATATTTAAGCTCTACAAAGATAAATCAAAAATGAAATTACACAAAAATTTAATAAAATATAAAAAAATAAAAATTAAGAAATTGTACCCAATTTTCACAAACTTCATGCCATTCTTCGCTTATAATAACGTGATAATGGTATCATGAAGATTATTCTTTTCAATTTGGTGTATATTTTATATTAAATTAATGGTTTTTGGAAATATTCAAACAGATAAATACTAGCTTGGACTGATCGATGGAACTTGCGGTTGTTGACCAGTGAGTTGACTTGCCAGAATGCAAAGAAGGTCGGGTGATGGAATCACATATATATCACTCAAATTCTTCCAAACCTACCTACCTATCATTATAAGGACCCCGGCCAGTAACGATTTCCAATTTTGATCAGATTTAATTAATTCAACATTTTAAAATAATAACAACTTCCTTGAGCAGCTATTTTTGTTTTGCTTTGCTTTTTTTTTTTTTTTTTGCATTTGTTTAGATTTCCCTTTTCAAGACCTTGGACCCGACGCAATTTGACATTTGCTTGCTTGGTTTCCTAAACCCATACGATGTAGGAGTACATAAAGGCTATGAAGATTGTATGCTTTCCTTTACCACCTTCAAACTTGAGGGTTCGCGAAAGCAGTTCGGTGACTTAATTAAATTATGGACCCATGAGTATAATTAATAAACGGCACACACACACACATATAGAGTTGATGATGGATCTCATCCATTGAAATATTGGTCCACAATTTCAAGTCCTACCACTTCCCTTTCTCGTAGCTAACTCAGTCCAACATGTATAACATACGTTGACCTGCACTTCCTCTTCTTCTGTAGAGCTTCAAACGGTGTCATTTGAATATTGTTGTGATAATTATTGTTATAAATAAATTCGGCCGATAAATGATGCTAGTTCCCTTTTAACTCAAGCACACAGACCCTCAACATGTCCTTTAAGGTATAGATGGTTGTTTTAGCTTAATCTGCTCAAGAATAAGAAGTGATACTAAATCTCACTAGAGTCCGTAAAGTTTCTTGTAAGGACCTTTAAAAATTTAGGATAAAACTTTACATCTCTATCAAAAATTATTTTATTGGGCACTTCATGCAACTTTACAATCTCCTTAATGTACAAGTAAGCCAACTCATCCAAGACATACACACACACAGAGGTAACTTTGATAGCAAGGAAATGGGTTGAGTTGGTTAATCTATCTGTCCATCGCTACCCATATGACACTGTCCCGACAATGTCGTTGGTTGGCCCATCATAAAATTTATGGGCACACTATCCCATTTTTATTCAGGAATTTTTAAGGGTAATTATAGTGTACTTGGTGGTTTCAGGTATTCTATCTTCACCTTTTAACATGCCAAACACTACGACATTTTGATAGCTCCAAAATGCATCGTGTACTATGAGTTTTCTACCATCGAATCCAATCAGTCTTTCTTTTCTAGCTCAAGGTAAAATCTTTACCTTTAAATTCTTGTTTGTAAAGTGCCTGCAAACCTTCACGGGCTACTTGAACATCTCTTATAACTTGCAATTCAGAACGAACGAACTCAAAAGGATGGTTAGGTTTAATGTTATAATTAGTCTATACATTTATGGCCCTATCGTTCTTATTAAAACCCTAGTATCGCTTTGAATGTTAGACGAGGTTTTGGTGCATATCACGAGACTCTCTCCAACCATATGCCATCATATGCAGGTGTACTTAAATTCATTGGATCGTTTTTTTTTTTGGAGGGAAAATTATTTTCTCATGGAAAATTTTCTCTATATCCACATATATCCATGAGAAAATATGTGATAAAGTTGTTTCTCTTGGATTTATAAGGATTTTCTAATGTATTTTTGACCTAAAAAACACTGTTTTAATTTCCTTCTCAATATATATATATAAATATGTGAAGCAGCGTTATCTCATATCCTTAAAAGAAAATCATCACTTGAACATCCCATGCATGCTTATTTTATCCTTTGATAAGTTAAGAGGGGAAATTTCTCTTAATCCTAATATTGTAATTTCCTTATATTAAACAAAGGAAAAATGGTGACAATCTTCACACTTCAAGATTTATCTCTATATATAGATATGCCGAAAAAGAGATAGATTCTCATCATGATCCTCTCATCGTCATCCCCCCCATATCTTGCGGCTTTTGACTTTCAGTTACGCACAATTTTCCCAACATAGAACTATATCCATTAATATTATAGTCGAGATCATCCTAGTAAAAAAGAAAACTTAAGATGTAAATTTGTATAAGAAGTTTTCATTCAAGAGTACTTGGCATCTCAAAGTTTTTTATTTTTGGGTGTAAATTTGTCTTGAAAATTTAAAATTATAACAATTTTATTCCAACCATTTGAAAAAAAATAACGTTGACTACTAAAATAGTAATATTAGTTGTTAACATTATTAATGATAGGGGTATGAAATTGCTAGGATTTTAAAATTGACACAAAATTTATATCTAAAGCAACTTCAAAACAGATAAGGAGCAACAACCATTTTAAGTATAGGAAATTAATGTTGATGATGAAGAAAATGAACTATCAGTTTTATGATGGTCACCACTTTTACATGATTGAAACAAAAATGAACTATGAATAGTTTGTGCACTAAGATTTGTAGCTCTCTTTCTCTGAAGAAAATGAAGATCACCTAAACAGAAGAAGTTCAGTTGATGTTCTAGAATATTCTGGAACTGGCTTTGGATCTGGGGGAGGTAAAGAAGAAGAAGAAGAAATAATTCCAATCCTCATAGTGAGGTCGAGGTTCAAATCAGGTATGCAAGATGATTCTTCCTCCTCTAAACCACTTGCTGCATCTGAGACTTGATCGCGATCAGATTTGTTATCAGAGACATAATAAGGTTTTGTTGTAATTGGCTCATCATTATTATTCTTGGCACTATTATTATATGATGATGAGGCTGAGCTTCCAGGCATTAATGGCGGATTTCGAGTTAACCGACGATTCTTCGGATCAATTCCTTCATTTATGAGCTTTTTTCTCAGATGAGAGTTCCAATAGTTCTTCACCTCATTATTTGTCCTCCCTGGTAATCTTCCAGCTATCAGTGACCACCTATACATCACAATGTCATCAATCAATAATGCAACAAGAAGACTTATCTCATTACGAAAAGAGCATGTTAAATAAATATGTTTTGTGGACGGTGTAAGGATAGTTAATGGATAATCCGTTAATAATTTAGCCACGGAAAAATTACATTGGTTTGCTTCCTTTTTCTTAATGAACAGAGAAATCCTAATTAGTAATTAGATGGGATAATTAAGAAGTTATCGCACCGGTTGCCTAGAAGGGCATGAAGCTTGATGATGAGATCTTCTTCATCTTCGGCAAAGTTGCCTCTTTTGATGTCTGGCCTCAGATAGTTCATCCACCTCAGCCTACAACTTTTGCCGCAGCGAAGTAATCCTGAAGATTTAACAAAACTTATAATATGAGCATCATTTCTACAAAGAATTCGGAAATTAAAGTCCATTAACTCAACAAACTATGAAGCCAGAAGTGAAGAGAGATCAATTAAAATGTCATATATAGATATACATATATATAGAGGGGGGGGGGGGGGAGAGAGACCAGCAGCTTGAGGGAGGGTACGCCAGGAACCCTCGCCATATTTGTTGATGTAATCAATGAGTTTCTGATCTTCTTGTTTGGACCAAGCTCCTCTGCTCAAACCCACCTTCTCACAGAAAGGTTTCCTCATCTTCCCTTTATCCTCTCAAACGTGTTTGTGAAAACCCAAGGTAGCTAGCCAGTGCCGGGAAGGAAGATGATGATTAGGCCAACGGTATATCTGTGTGTGTGTGTGAGAAGAAGAATGGCGGGTGCGTAGCATCACATAGGGCGTTCAAAGGTGCATGTGTGTATATATATACATACGTGTATAGACAGCAGGTCAGATATATGGGTTAGTACCCTTTTTAATCTCTGAAAATTGACCTTTTTTTATTTTTCATCTTTAAAATTTGAAATCAGTGGTCTTGGTCCTAAAATTTGACCCCATCTTGACTTTGATCCATAACATTTGAAATTAGTGATTTTTTTTATTTGTATAACTCAGAGTATTTTCAAATCACTTTAGATTTAAAACTAATTTTTATATTTTTTTTGGAATTCAAATTTGTATTCTTTTTCTTATAAGAATGAAACTACTTACTATATCAATCAAGGGCTTGTTAGTTAAAATTAGTGATCTTGGTCATGAAATTTGACTTCATTTCAATCTGGTTAAAAATTTTTGGTCCTTAAAACAGAATTTTTTTGCCTTAAAATATGGATACAAATTAAAATTAATTAGGTGAAATTTTTGAGACTAAAAATGATTTTTATATTATATATAAAAAAAATAAAAGAAGACGGGAAGAGGGGGAGTCTGACACAGAGTTGGTGGAGTGTGCTTGGTTAGTTGTCCACCAATTATAGTAGTCAGTAATCACGTACCGTCCTTCCCACATCTAATTTTTTTTCCTTTTAATTTCTTTTAATTTTGGTTGAATAATTTCTCTTGCTTCGATTTCTCCCATGAGATACTGACATCTGTAAATAACATTGTTTTGTTTTTTTGTTTTTTAATTTTTATATGTTCCTACCATCTCACCCTAAAATCTTCATGTTATCATGTATGAGTCGGGTTTAGGAGCAGAAAGATGAAGATATGCCTACAAGTTCTAAAAATGCTTACATAGGTATTTGCAGATTGTCTGCTAACAAAGCTGTCATATCAATAATGAGAATTAAACTTATAACTTTATAAGTTATGAGTTAATTCCTTATTAGTTGGATCAACATTTGTGGATGTTCCTGTTGGATTTTGATTCACTCTATTTGTCTAATTTTTCTAAATGCTGAGTTTACTTGAATTGAAAAGAACATGATAGGATTTTAGTTTAACTTTGCGCAATTTTTACACTGAATGTCCAAGTCAAACTTTCATGGATTAAGCTAAATTTACGTTTGGATTAAAATATTAACTTTCATGTTATAAGGTTGTTTTATAAAGCCGAACATCCCATTTTTGGTGCGACAAAACTATTGTAGGCGTGAACGTTATGAAATGTTTTTATCTATAAAGTTTGAATTCAAGGCTTTATTATAGAAATTTATTTTTCACTCGATGTAACTACAGATAATTGCATGCTTTGTACATTAAAATGCCTGTGAGATTTTTTTTTTCTTATTTTATATTCAACAGCACCATATCCGGTCAAAAAAAAAAACTTCAACAGGACCATATACTCGCTACAATTTTTTTGTCTTATAGATAGCATATTTTTTTCCCAAAAAATTTAATCTTTATCTGATTCTGATATTGAAACCCACAAAAAAAAAAAGATTTTCACAAACTGGTCCATATATGATGATATGTAAAATGTTTGAAGAAGTAGATAAAATGATACCATCTTCTTTTCTCTAATATAAAAATTAGTTAGAGATTAAATTTGGTCATAAATATAATATTCTAACATATTTTATCTTTCAAATTTGTAAATTTTTCTCAAAATATTTATTTTGAATGAACATAATATTATGGAGACTTCTACCAAAAGGTAGTTCTAATATTATATGATTAAAAAAATAGTTTAGGAAAGCCTACATTTATTATAGATAATTAACTTAATTATTTTTTTTAATATCTTTAAACTAGAGTGCTGAATATACTATAAATAAAATTATCTTGTTAGATATAGACCAAAAAAAGATGCTGAATATATATATATATATATAGAGAAAATAAGATTAGAACAGTGGATGTATTTAATACCTCTACCTTTTGGCCCAAAAAAAACATCTGCCTGGAATTTTATATTTAACTAGTGGTTTTGGCGAATATCCAAGGCGACCTGGACTGATCGATGGAACATGCGGCTATTGACCAATGAGCCGACTTGCCGCAGTACAAAGAAGGTCAGATGATGAATCTTATCCCTCGAATCCTTCTTTTTTTCTTTTTTTCTTTTTTGCCAGCTATCCCTCGAATCCTTCTAAACCTACCTATCTACACCTGTCAGTCTATTAGACCCTTTCGAGAGGAAATATGTCTATGTTTAATAGGGAAAATGAGATGATAATTTCAATTAATATTAAATATTTTTTTATATATGTCTATATTTAATAAAAATAATAAAAGAGTAAAAATTAATATGATGTTAGAATTTAACATAGCTAAGGAGAGTAATATATATAAGAAATCACTTGAATTTTATGACATTTAATTTTTTAAAATTATTTCTTTTAGTATGCGTAAATTAGTCAACCATTTTTTTATATTAAGTACCCAATAATGATTTCAATTTTCATCAAAATTAATTAATTCAATCTTTTAAAATAACAACTTCCTTGAGCACCAAATTTTTTTTTTTTTGGTGATATGATGGTTTTGAGTACGTTTCGATTCTCCTTTACAAGACTTTTGTATTGAAACCGATGCAATTTGACTTTTTTTTTAAAGGTTAAAACATATAAAACTCTCTTGAACTTTGGGCTAGTTACATATATCTTTTCCGTCTTTAAAAATTTAAAATAAAGATCGTAATATTTCATGTTTTAATTATTAACTCCTGTTGTAAAAATTACTGTTAAAGTTAACAGCTTTTGCCACGTCAACCTTTTTATATTTTTTTATCATATGCCAGATCATTTAAAAAATAATGCTTGCAATTTAAACAAGCAATTTTGAATTTTTTAAATACCTAACATGAAATACTTAATTACTTTAAAAAGATCAAATATTTAAATATAAAAAATTTATTTGATTGAGTCCTTTTTACATAAAAATTATAGAGAAATACAAAAAAATTTGACATAGCAAAAACTGTTAATTTTAATGGTAATTTTAACAGTAGGGCGTTAATAATCAAAACACTAAATATTTTACGCTTTTAAAGGTGAGGGAGGTTATACTCAGCTGACCCAAAGTTTAGCGGGTTTTGTGAATTTTAGCTTTTTTTTAAAATAAAAACTAAAAAAGAAAAATTACAAATAAAGACCCCCAATATATAAAATAGTAATTAGGGATCTTAACTTTGAAAAATAGCTTCAGAGGACCCAATCCCAAATTGCAAATACGAAATGATAGTGGAATGTCCAAAATGCCCTTCATTTTTTCTCTTTCTTCCTCTCCAGATCTTCTTCCCTTTCCTTCTTCTTTTCCTCTCTCTCTCTTTCTTTGTTATTCTCTTTCCTTTGGTTCTATCATAAATATTTAACACGTGTTCCTAGCTTTTGATTGGGAACAAGTATGATGATTGTATTTCGGTGGCTAAATTGATTAAGGAGTGGGATGTGAGGAACAAACAAGCTCTAAATATAATGCTAAACGAGTAAAGTTCTCGCATTATACGTGGAATTTGATAGTTTCTTGTGCATATGATATGACGGTTTACATATGGGATTTCATGGTTGAGGATGCACTTGTGGGTAGAGATGATCATCATAGTGCATTTGTCACTGGTGTTGATATGAGCATGCTTCTTGAGGGGCTTATGACAGTTTTGATGCTATAATTTTATACATTGGGAGGAAATGAAAGGTGAAGTTGATGATGAAAGATGTTAATCAGAAGTGGTTGCTTTCAGAAATCTGCATATTATTATTTCAGCAGAGAAATTTACAATTGTATAAAAATGTTATGCGAACTTGTTATTTTACATACTTAACTTGTCATTCGCTATTATGGACTTGTCATTTACTATTTATCAGAAGTGGTTGCTGTCAGAAATCTGCACATTGTTATTTCAGCAGAGAAATTTACAATTGTATGAAAATGTTATGGGAACTTGCTATTTTACTTACTTGACTTGTCATTTGCTATTGTGGACTTGTCATTTACTGTTTATCAGAAGTGGTTGCTGTTAGAAATCTGCACATTGTTATTTCAGCAGAGAAATTTACAATTGTATAAAAACATTATGGGAACTTGTCATTTTACATACTTGACTTGTCATTCGCTATTGTGGACTTGTCATTTACTGTTTATCAGAAGTGGTTGCTGTCAGAAATCTGCACATTGTTATTTTAGCAGAGAAATTTACAATTGTATGAAAATGTTATGGGAACTTGTCATTTTACATACTTGACTTGTCATTCACTATTGTGGACTTGTCATTTACTGTTTATCAGAAGTGGCTGCTGTCAGAAATCTGCACATTGTTATTTCAGTAGAGAAATTTACAATTGTATGAAAATGTTATGGGAACTTGTCATTTTACATACTTAACTTGTCATTTGCTATTATGGACTTGTCATTTATTGTTTATCAGAAGTGGCTGCTGTTAAAAATCTGCACATTGTTATTTTAGTAGAGAAATTTACAATTGTATGAAAACGTTATGAGAACTTGTTATTTTACATACTTAACTTGTCATTTGCTATTGTGGACTTGTCATTTACTGTTTATCAAAAGTGGTTACTATCAGAAATGTGCAAATTGTAATCCTAGCAGAAAAAGTATGAAAATGTACGAAAACCTTATGAAAATTTGTCATTTGCCATACTTAACTTGTCATTCGTTATTGTGGACTTGTCATTTACTGTTTATCAAAAGTGGTTACTATCAGAAATGTGCAAATTGTAATCCGAGCAGAAAAAGTATGAAAATGTACGAAAACCTTATAAAAATTTGTCATTTGCCATACTTAACTTGTCATTCGCCATTGTGGACTTGTCATTTTGTGTTTATTAGAAGTGGTTGCTGTCAGAAATGTGCAAATTGTAATTCCAGCAGAAAAGTATGAAAATGTATGAAAACGTTATGGGAACTTGTCATTAGCCATACTTAACTTGTCATTGGCTATAGTGAACTTGTAATTTC